GCACCAGGCGTCTTGAGAGAGGTGCAGAATTGTGACTACATATATTCCCACATAGACACCTGGGGAGTGTTTCACCACTTTTGTCCGTTGAGAGGGTTTCTGTGAACTTTGTACACACTTTTCCTGCAGAAGATGCAATATTTTATAAAGTGGACAGTCAGAACTGGTTTGAACTGGATTGGAAGAAAAAGGGCTACTATGTTATTCTATACCGTTATATAGAAATGTGTGCTATGAACCTCAGTGACCAATTGTATTAAAAGAAGTTATCTTCAGCAAACAGGGAGGTAGGAAGGGGTGCGTGAAAGATAACAGAAACGTTTTAAGGACTGTTCTAGTTTCATTACTTTGAGAAAAATACACCTCTGTGAACTTCTTGAAACTTCTGAGACGGACTCCTGACTGTCTTTTAAGGGGAAGGGGGAAAAATGTCTCCAACATGTCCCACTCTGCTCCATAAAAGCCACAGTGCGGGTTGAGCTTCATTGCTTAGATCTCTTCTTGACTCAGCAGCAGCTGCAAAAGGCGAGATGTTTCATCGCAGCTATTTAACACAACATGTTTTGTTCAATTCAGCGTCTCAGAGGGACAAAGCCCAGAAGGATTTCACAGTCCTCTAGGCCTACAGGATGTAAAGAGACACTCGCTATCAGGTGTCTGGTGCAAAAAGACGGAATGAAAAAATACGATGAGAAAACCGAAGTGCATATAGAAACTTGAGAATTCTGGACTCTGTTCTCACAGGTGCCTGTGGTTTTCTAGTCTGCATACCATTCAGCACAGGTTACAGTATATGCTAGGTGGTTCTGGAAACTGAAAATGTCACCAGTTTTCTAAACAATTTTATTTTGGTTGTTCAGGCAAAATATTTGCTCATTTAGGATTTTTTTTATGTATATCTGAACACCTCCCCCGATATTTAAGCACCAAAGCTTTCACCCCCTGCCAGAACCAAAGTTGGGATTTTTGGGGTGTTTTTTTTAGTAGGCAGATACCGCTGATCCCGAGCGTAGCCATGAATTCCGCGGGATGCAGAGGCAAACAACCCAAAATCGCAATCCAGAAGCAAGGTCGGTTAGGCGAAGCTTGTGATCCGTTAGCCAGAAAGAGCCGAGACAAACCGAGAAGACAATCCGAAAGGCGAAATCCGAGAGACGAGGTCGAAAGGGAAAAGTTAAGTCTAAAACCTTAAAAAAAAGAAAGTAACGCGCACTAGAAAACGCTACAAGAGGCTTTTCAATAGTGAGCAGGTTTGTGGAGGTTTTTGCCTTCTGATTGGAAACTGATATCTGACGCTTTGTCATCACATTGTTCACTGCCGAACGAACACATGAGCTGGAAATTGCTTAAAAAGCAGAAACGCTCATCTGGCGACGAACAAGAAGGAAACTTATACCGTCTTCATTTCCGACACTGGGGATTTTGGAGATGAGAAAAAACCAGCTCGAATTTCAAAGGGAACGTGATGTCAAGAAAGTGTTCGAAGGAAGCAAAAAACGTGAAACAAATAGGACACGAAGAGAGTCAGGAACGACCTTACACCAAAAGGCAGTGAAAAGGATTCCCATGAAAGCTGATTTCTGGAGCCCTTTCAATCTAGTTCATTCACTAGGACCTCCGTGGTCTTTAGACTGACCAGATATTGTTTTCTCCTCTAGCGCTGACCGTGAGCTTAGTTTTAGACTGAAAAGTCTGTAAATATGGGATTACAGAGATCCCCATGATATTTTAATCTATCTTCTGTTTGCCCATATCGTATAATGTGATAGCTAATTCTGTCCCCGAATTTAATTCCGCGCTGTTAATTGCTTAATTGAATCAATTTTTTAATTGATTAGCCAATACTGCTGTTGTTCCCAGGTTTTCAGTCACTGACACTGTAAAGACAATTGCAAGGTCTGCAAGACTACACCATTTCAGGACAAGATCCGACTACCATTTGCATGAGGGTGTTTGCAGAATTGTGACGCCCGGATTGTATTTCATGTGCACCGGGATTTGTCTCACTATAATGACAGAAGGAGATCGGAGAGCAAACTCCCTCCCACATAATTTGTCATGATCACACCCCATACTGCACTCCTCATTCCAAAGAAAACTGGTCAAACATTGGATTGAATCCTATTTATACTCAAACCAGTTTTAAATAATCTGCATTTTTGGGTACTCTCCTTCACATCCAAAAAGGCCATCACCAAATATTTGTATCTAAATTGAGAGTTTAATATACGGTATTAATCTGTATTGATATTATTAATATACATGAATGGGCTCTGGTGCGAGTGTGTGTCTGTGTGTTGCCCTGTGATGGACTGCCGTCCCATCCAAGGGGTAGCCTGCCTTGCTTGCTTTGATAGACTCTGGCTTCCCTGCAACCCTGTGGTGGATAAAGGGCTTAGAAAATGGATGGTCGTACAGTTGCTTGTAGTTCCAGGAGATATACAATACGATGATACAGTGCCTCGTGCGGATATTAAAACTGAGATCTGAATTCTCCTGTAAAGTAGTGACCCTTTAAACTTGCGGCATAATTGTGCTTTTAAAAAAAAAACAAATGTACAATTAGATTTTGTTATGCCGACCCGATTTGGAATCGCCAGGTGTGTGACTAGTCTTTTTCGAGACACAGCTACTGTATGAGCACCGCCACCGCGCAGCGCAGCGAATCAGGAAGTGTCGACTCCTCGAACCCGCCCACTTTCAGGCCTCCTGTCTTTTTTTACACGTCACGGTCCCGTACGGAAGGCACGGCGCTGATTGGACAACACGCGTGTCCATCACCCACAGCGCCGCAGGGCTGCGCGTACCCCGCGCGTATTGCGCGTCGCCGAGAACCATTAGAGACCTGACCGACTCATCGCACCCTGCCCTTAGCAGACACAGTCCACTAGTGACTCGAACCCGCGGCACTAGAGTGAGCACCTATACTGGTTGAGACACTCATGATCATGAACACTCACGTACACAACGCAAATGAGGAATAATAAAAAAAGCTCAAAAGATAGCAGACAACATAGGAAGACTTCAAAGGTGGCTTGTAAGTCATGTATGATGAACTGTATGAGTGACACACACCTCTCTGAACCCTAGCAACTGACTACAGCCTTACTCATTAAGAACAGACACGTAGCGCACAGGTTAAAAGCAATATTGACATTTATTATTATTATTATTATTATTATTATTATTATTATTATTATTATTATTATTATTATTATGAAGTTGTTATCACAGGTAAGATGGGACAGTTTGATGCTGTCACGGTCACAACTGGAAAACCACACCGGACACGACGTAGGCCGGGCGTCTCCAAAAAACAAAGGAGGAGCTGCTGGAAGACGTTTTTTTTGCGGGCGAAGGGAGATAGGTGTAGTGGCATGGGAGGGGTTTAAAATCAGGGTTCCCGGGGTGAAAAAAAAAGTCCTCCAAAACGGTAAACACATTCTTTAAGGAGCCCGACGTTTCCGTTGTCATGGGATGGAGAGGAGCGTTCAGGCCGGCCGCGCCAAACGCACTGGATGCTGCAGTCCAGGTACAGTGCGCGCGTTGGGACCGGCCCCCGGGGTGATATCCTTCCCACACAAGGTCACGGCAACGTGCAAGCCACAGACCGACCGCGGGTGTGTGCAAGACGCGGTTCACAGCGCGGACCCGTCCAGGGAACAGGGACAGAGCGCCCTACAGCTGCCTTGTATGTATGTGTGTGTGTGTGTGCTCTCTCCTTGCAACCCGCAGCTCGCCAACTCTTCCCCAATGCGCTGAAGGTCAGAGCTGAACCAACACCGCAGGACCGCGCCGGGCTACAGTAGCTCGCCGCTTGCTAAAAAAGTGCAACAAAATGGCAGCTGTGCTCGTTTTAAAAACACCGCACTCCGTTCTATAGCCGATGGCTCTAAATATTTCGTAGGGGTGTGCGTGTCCTCTAAACAGCACCCCAGAGCGCAACTGAACTGCACCAGCGAGATCTAAAAATAACACCAAGCTCGGAGCTCCACACACCGGGGTAAGGTGCTCTCCTGCTACACGCATCTGCATATTTGATATATTGAACAGGGACGTCTCACTTCAATAAACATCCTTGGGAAATTATCAAGTGAATGCATGGAATTGCTAAATACATTATGTTTATACCACTTTAGAACATCCCGGCTGCACTATTTAACAGCCATATTTTTTTTTCCGGTCTGAACTCCGCTCCCTCAGTTCCCTATCTTTTATTCTTGCAATTGGGGGGAAGAACGGGCTGTGTTTCGAGCCCGGGAAGTTCTCTGATAGATGGCTGGTTACGTGCGCATTTCTCATCGCATCACCGTGCGAGCGCCGCTGTCACCTGCCCCCGGCGACCCCCCGCAAGCGGCTTCAAATCTGCGGCTGACAGAAACGACAACAAAAAAATAGTAATCATTTTCATCTTGGGGGACGACAGGGACAATACAGGGCGAGCGCAAACCCGCTCCATCAGCGGCGGTACGTTCTGCCATTTAAAAATCGATATAACCCCCTTAATGTCAAAACCTCCACCATCAGGAGAGCTCGAAAACACGCTTGGAAAAAAACACCTCCACTAGGATTAGTGCACCTCAATAGGACAGAGAAAGAATCGTTGACACTGGTTACAAATAAGCTAAAATAGCAGGCGAAATGTGTACCAGGAAATATACGGGTTGGATTGATGTGTTGTATCTTTATATTGTATAATATGTCCACAGCACTGACAGTGCACACTGTTTATGTAACGGAATAATCTCCCCTCATATTTGCCCCCTAGCTATGACGATGGCTGACAGGGATTTCATCGATTTGAGAAAATTCAGAAACCCTTCAAGAGCAATTCCCCCCTTGAAAGGCGAATTGAATTTGACAGCTGCCTCGCGTTTTGTTTTATTTTCCCCAATGCGTTTTTAAAGGGGTGGGTTTTTGGAGACCACGGTATGGCCACGGTCACTATTGCTGTCACCTTATTTACGCAGCGAAATACCACAAAAAAAAAAATCACTTACTTTCCAACGAAGTTCTCCAGAACCGAGCTTTTGCCCGCACTTTGCCCGCCGACCACGGCGATCTGGGGCAGATCCAGGTTGGCATTTTGTCCGATTGCAGAAAAGGCATCCTGGAGCTGATTTACCAGAGGAATTAAATCCTCCATCCCTCGGTTACCCATCTTTGCAAGAATAGCCTATTCTCCCTCACAGCCAATAAAATGAAGGCAACCCCCCAAAAAAATCGTTGATCTTTTTATTAGCTGGATACTGCAACGTCTGGACCCGATGGCTATGTTATTTTTGCATGCACCTTCATTGATTATACGCTGTCCGTCTCCCTTCTTAACGAAACGCGGCTTCTCGCCTCCCCCTCTTCCTCGGCTCTGCTGTCTCCCAGCTTGGCTACAGGATGATCTCCGCTCTTGTCGGATAAATGGGATATCCTTGCGATGATCGGCATCGGCCACCAGGGGGCGCAGGGACGGCGTGCGCCAGCGTGGACCGTGCTTGGCGTTCTGGGAAACGTAGTTTTCTTTGCACTGCGATAGAACGGTGAGAGCTGGTATTGCCCAGTGATGAGGTGTTCTTCATCTTGCTCAATTTTGTTTTAACAAAAGCTGGGCCACAAAGCAGGTAATGCGTTTTTTTAATTGACTTTTAATCGTACTTTTATGGAAATTAAAAGCAGCTTTTTTATTGAGCGATTCTCAAAGAAAGGTCTCTTCTAGAACAGCTCTTCCCAGGCCTGGTTCTTCTGATTTTGATTCTAGCTGAGCTCTGCATCTCCAGTGCTATTTGCTGACTTAAGTAACCTGCTTTCCTGCTTAGACTTAGCTTGTTTCTCTGGTTACTCTGAATACCCTGAACGCGAGGGAGGTCCTGAACTCACCCAGCTGGGCGACTCGGGCGGGCTGCTCAAGCCCGGGTTCGGGCTTCGATGCTGATCTGAATTGCTGGGCGTTGAGGAGAACAATCCGGTCCCTCTCTCTGTTCTGGATCCCGCACTTGCGACAGACACACGCTGGGCCCTGGGGAGGGGCAAACGTCACCGCGGGGAAGTTTGAGGACAGAGGCGGCACACGTGAAACATATCCCAGTCCTGAAATAAGGTACCTACTGTAGGTAGGCAACGGAGATCAAAGGGGCCGGTGATGTCTGTTCTTTTGAAGGTGCCGGACGATGAAACGGTTCTATTTACATTTTCAGCGCAGTTGAAACCGCTGCAGTGGGGGATTTTTCTCTTGCTCGAAATGCAGAGCAAATCAATACTGGGAGCCCGCAAAGCACAGACTATGGCGCACTGCGTCGGAGACGAAAAGGAGGATTTATGTAACACTAGAGCACTAATATACTATAATATACAGCAGTGAAGAGGCGAGGGCTGCTCAGGGGCAAGACTGGAAAAGAAATTGGTAAAGCACAGCCAAGTAACAGTCCTGGGTGTCATCGTGTAATCCAAAGTGAGCTGTTACATGGGGCAAAGTGCACTTTGCAGGAGAAACCTGTAACACCATCCCCTCTCGGATGACATTAGTATTAACTCTCTCAAAGCGCTTTACAGGTGATTGGGGCCACCAGTGTGCAGCCCCACCTGGATGATGCGACGGCAGCCGTAGCGCCCCAGTACTCTCCCCACACACCAGCTCTCAGTGGGGAGGAGAGCAGAGTGATGGAGCCAGTTCAGAGATGGCGATTATTAGGAGGCCATGATGGGTAAAGGCCAGGGGGAAATTTGGCCAGGGTGCCGGGGTAACACCCTTACTCTTTTCGAGAAACGCCCTGGTATTTTTAATGACCACAGACAGTCAGAACCTCGGTTTAATGTCTCATCCGAAGGTCGGCGCCTTTTTTACAGTATAGTGTCCCCGTTACAGATCAGAGGGTGCGCACCCCTACTGGCCCGCCATGGCTCTGTGTAACTTGTTCGATATCGGAATGAACCAGACGAATCGCTCCTCTCAGACAGATTTGACAAAAACGGAAATTCCAGTTCAAAGAAAAGAAAATCACACCACAAAGTAAACTGCATGGTCACTGCCCTCTTAGATCTTTTGTATACATCATGCAATTTCTTAACTCCAGGATTAACTTTAGACCAAGAATAACCTATTATTGTTCCTTTGCAGCCTACGCATGTTGACGCAGCTCACCACCTGAACTTTAGACCACTCACATGTGAAACATGTTTTACTTTATCTCTTTGAAAACATTTACAAGCTGAAAAGGTAGATACAGTACGTAGACTAGAACAGGTTTATCTCCCCCTTAGGGTCCAATTTATTTGTCATGGACAGGGCTGAAATATCACCTAAAGGGGATTTGGAAGCTCGTTGTGTAAAGTGCATTGAAGGATAAAATCAAACCATTTCTTTGCGTTCTGTTCTGCTCGAGTGTTCCTAGGCTCTTGTTGTTGTCCAAATAGTCACGCTGCCACAAAGAGAACGAGACGAGATCGAGGTGAGCGCTTCGCTCAAGGACTGTGAAAATGGATAAAAAAGACGCATTTCTACTCCCGAGCAGCAAACAAAACGGACAGAAATGAATGAATCACCTTCAGATCTTAAGAAAAGCGAAGGAAGTCATTCAACTTTTACGTCAAAGAGAGTTTAGCTGAGAAAAAAGTACTGAACAGTGCCACCCTGACCATGTTCCTTGTACTAACTAAGATATTAGGATATACATTGAGTGGATGGAATTAACAGCCTACAGTATTAATCAATAATGGGATCTATTTGAGCGCATGACCCTGGAGTTTCATTTCACAATAACTCCACGGGTCATCACTACCTATGGAAATGTAGGACGGATTAAATATAACCTACAAGCATGTATATGAGCATAAACTCCAATAATCATGCTAATAGCGTGTATGCCTTTTCATTAATATGATTAAAATAAAGGATTTCGCTCCTAACCAGAGACAGAAGGCAATCAAGCAAATCAGCTTAAAGGGCAATCGGTTCACGAAATCTTAGCTGTCCGTTTGTGATTATTGGTTTTCAGCTTTTCATTGCAATTGATTCCCCTCTCACTCATTGATCACTCTTAAATATTCATTGGTGCAGAAGCATTGTAGCTTTCATTCACATATCTTTGGCCCTCAGATGGTCATAAGGATTAAATGTACTAACTGTGATTATTCAGACGGCCGTGGAAAAAAAAAGAGTTTGAAACTTGTAAGCCATGAAAACACGCTGGATTTCTTCCGCACGTTTTCAGGCAGTCAAGAAAAAAGCTACGTGCACCGTCAGTCTGTAGCCACGCCCACTCGGGTGACATCGGTCGCAGGCCACGCCCCGCGCACCTGTCCGCCAGGTTCAGCGGGGGAGAAGGGAGCTGGGTGAGTTTGTTCCGCGTCTTTTAATGATTTTTTTTTAATTTGTCCTTTATTTTTATGCAGATAAAATTAAACTCAGATAATCGTGAAATCTAAAACTCGCAGGATAAGGGAGTAAAACTCGTATTTTCGTTGGCATTCTGT